TCTCATTGGCTGAATATTTGTGAGTGTTACAATAGCTCTCATTGGCTGAATATTAGTGAGTGTTACAACAGCTCTCATTGGCTGAATATTGGTGAGTGTTACAATAGCTCTCATTGGCTGTATATCTAAATTATGCAAAGTATATATCTCCTATAAAAGTATATATGCCTATACATCTCTGTTAGTGACATAGATAAATACTGCAAGGAATTAAATTGAAGTAGAATTTATTGATAAAAACAATAACATTATCAAAAAATTCAACTTATTCTTGACTAAATTCCCACCTTTGATCTGCTGTACTGTGAGCACGGGATCCTTTATTTCTATATTGTTGAAATATCTCGTTTTGACGTTCAATTCTTGATTCTTCCTACATGATAAAACATAGTAAAACTATCAATGCATTGCCATTTTGTATTTAATTATTGTGCATATGTTGAATATGAGTTGATTACAAGGATACTGCAAAGTATGAAAGAAGACAGTACAGTGGGAGTACTGATTGACACGCAGCGGATATCGGCGCAACCACGTCTTGTCTGAGTTCATACTTTGTAGTATCCTTGTAATAACCTTATTATTATACATCTTTTCCTCCCAGCAATACATCATGGGAATCGTGAATTCAAAATGTTTAGAGCAGATTTAGGGAACTTCTTTTTGTGTGATCTGGTCTGAAACCTGTTTTTTTTAATTATTAGAGGATGCTTACGCACGTAATTGTTCCATATTTGGAATTTGCGTTTCCTAATATGGTAGGATGAAAAAACACAGTGCAATACCACAAAATTACGGTACGCTGTAACTTCACGGTGACACATGCTTAATAATATTATCTATGATGTATGTGTGAAGTTTGAATGTAAGGCATGTCTAAGAGATAGGTTCAACGCATGCACGAATGGACGCACAGGTTCAATCCATAAGTCCTCGTTTTCAGACTGCTTTTGAACAAGGACTAAATAGACCTTAGACGAAAACTGTCAGAATTTAGTTGAGAGAATGAGAATCATATGACTCACTTTACCATTCCACCCCCAGTTTCATTCTTTCCTATCATGACGACCATAGCAACAAATACCATGGTTACATAGATCAGGGCAACAGTGGACGTGATGATGGGAGAGAATGGAACAAGGTTTCCACTCTTTAAACAAGATCACGATGACAATTTTCATCAAAGATTAATTCTCTTACTTACAGCTTCCACCACCATTCTTAGTTTTCTTTTTAATCGGTTTAATTCATCTTCCTGTTTGTTGTACTTCTCTTCAATATGTTTACACCTTGTTTCAGTGGTTTCTCGCGAAAGACGAAGCATCTCTGCAGTGTTGTCATGGTGACGAAGCTGGGCTAAGTGTTTATCTTTCAATTCCTGTTAATAAAATCATTGTGTAATTAGATTTGTTACAGTAATGTGCGTCATTCGGAATCATAAATGTCACACACTTGAAAGAGGCTGTCATACATACTGTACTTCCCTGAGTATAAGCCCCTCCCTGAGTATAAGACCACCCCTCTGTTTTAGACATTTAACAAGTTGAGGATATAGGCCAAGGGTGTTTTTACCGAGCGTCGACGACATTTATTAAAATATGCATGTAAAAAATGTAGTTCATTGCTTAATAATCGTGATTGGTACGGTAGTTTGGTTCCTGCTTTTACAAGAAAACTCGCATTAATTTCATGGCCAGTGAACATACAAAACATGGTTTGCACATTTTCTATTCTGTTATTTATTCAGGATGAACCTCGATGTTGCAATACTGAAGTAATCCATATTTCTTTTGAGCAGTAGTTTCAGAAACGCCAAAAATGTGATCATCAAGTTATTGGTCATTGAACATCGTTTTACTTTTCCGAATTATCATGTCCATTGAGACCTTCGTGAATGGGATGTGAACGAGCAAACTATTCTTTGACATGACTTGTTGACGACCGTGAAAAGATTAAATACTTCCTCCACCCTCAGTTTACCTTTCGAAAATTGCGAATCAACAACTCTAGGGAAAAAAATCACCGTTTTTGGACGAAATCAGATCGTATTTTAACATCGCGGTAATTCACTTCCGCATTGCGTTGAAAACTTACTTCGTCAATAATCGGAAAACTTTGTCTGTACGACACAGCATTTTGATTGGTTAACGAAAGACGTGACCTGTTAGATCAAAGGAATTTGTGCAGGTCAAATCATGATGAAAAACACCATGGCTTTGTATCAAGAGTTTGCGTACGATTGAAAACATTCCACAACGAAGACAATAATAAAGATTTTGCCTTTGACTGTTTTTCCACAGACCCTACCCATTTTTGCACCGTAAATTCAGACGATATGTAAATAGTATTGTAATAAAATGTGTGTATTATTATAAACATGTTTGTTTCTTCATTGTAAAAAGTGTCGTGGAAATCAAAAAGACGTAATATTTCTTCAAGACCGGCGCTGTGAACGAAAAATGGAATTTGGATAATATTTCGTAGTTGGGAAGATGGTTACAATTTTAAACCCCCCAAAAAATTATCTTTTCTGAGGTCGTCCTCGAGTATAAGCCCACCCCCTAATTTACCCAATTTTACATGTTCAGGCCCCTGGGCTTATACTCGGGGAGGTTTGTTAATAAAAAAAAGAACTAAATACTGACTGGTACAGAAAAAAATGGCACTACGCATTTCTGAACAAAAAACAAATCAAAGAATATATAGGTATGTTAATATTTTTTATCTTTTCACTTTAACTTTTTCACCATCAGACTGTCTTGCTCAAATTATTACGCACTTTTTTCTTATAGTCTTCAATATTTCTGGAAATGAATCCTAATTTTTGGGCCAACAGACAAAATTTCAGTTTTCACACAAAAAAATTAGCTAATTTTGTCCAAATCTTCTGAAGGAAAGTGCAGACTATTTTGTACATTTGTGATGAAAAAAGGGAGCTGGTGTTGAAATGGCTAAACTGAATCACAGTTCAATTACACTATCATTTTGTTGCATAATTCTCCTGTCTGTAGAAACAGTAGTTGCTTAAGAAACAATCCTTCTTATTTTGTCATAGCTTTGATAAGAACACACAAAAACAAGTTACCATCATGAATAATTACCTGTATACTGTCTCTAGCGTTATCTAATAATATTTCCAAATCTTGTTTCTCATCTTCCAATCTTCTTATATGTATACTTGATCTTTCAATGTCACTCCTGTATACAGTAAACCATCAGTAAAATTTTATTATCTGCACAACTTTTTTTTCATTTTCAGATATAGAGAATAGATTCCGAGGGGATTCACATAGTTTTAGTCACATGTCTGTGCATGCACTTATGATTCTAAAATTGGTTTGAGATTTTATTTTCAGCGACCACCCATTGTAAAGTCAAACCTGTGTATAGCGACCAGCCATTGTACAGTCAAAACTGTGTATAGCGACCACCCATTGTACAGTCAAACCTGTGTATAGCGACCACCCATTGTACAGTCAAACCTGTGTATAGCGACCACCCATTGTACAGTCAAACCTGTATATAGCGACCACCCAAGGTACAGTCAAACCTGTGTATAGTGACCACCCAAGGTACAGTCAAACCTGTGTATAGTGACCACCCAAGGTACAGTCAAACCTGTGTATAGCAACCACCCAAGGTACAAACCTGTGTATAGCAACCACCCAAGGTACAGTCAAACCTGTGTATAGTGACTACCCAAGGTACAGTCAAACCTGTCCTGTGTATGGCAACCACCCAAGGTACAGTCAAACCTGTGCATAGCGACCACCCATTGTACAGTCAAACCTGTGTATAGCGACCACCCAAGGTACAGTCAAACCTGTGTATAGTGACCACCCAAGGTACAGTCAAACCTGTGTATAGTGACCACCCAAGGTACAGTCAAACCTGTGTATAGCAACCACCCAAGGTACAAACCTGTGTATAGCGACCACCCAAGGTACAATCAAACCTGTGTATAGTGACCACCCAAGGGACAGTCAACCTGTGTATAGTGACCACCCAAAGTACAGTCAAACCTGTGTATAGCAACCACCCAAGGTACAAACCTGTGTATAGCGACCACCCAAGGTACAATCAAACCTGTGTATAGTGACCACCCAAGGGACAGTCAAACCTGTGTATGGTGACCACCCAAGGGACAATCAAACCTGTGTATAGCATCCACCCAAGGTACAGTCAAACCTGTGTATAGCAACCACCCAAGGTACAAACCTGTGTATAGCGACCACCCAAGGTACAATCAACCTGTGTA